ATAAAAAATCTAATTATATAATATACTTTATATTATAAGTTTATAATAAAATTATAACATTTTTGTTAAAACTATCACAAGCTAGTAACTTAATGGTCACTTTTTCAGTAATAAAAAAAAAATTTGTTGCATGCAAGTAAGCTCAAATAATTATAAAAATGTTACAACTTATTATACAATCCAAAATTGAGAATCTTGGGAGGATAAATGCACATGTCCAACACCAAAACAACACCATTATCTTACCCTTAAAGAAATTTACTTTAATAATAAAAATAGTTTACTTGGGGCCGGGGAAAGAGATACAAACGAAATCTTATCCTTTTAGTCTACTTAATTAATTAGTAATTCATTGGACACTGATTAACTAGCTTGCATTGAAAACTCTACTACCAGCAAAAGTTTTAAAAAAAGTAATTTTGCCTTAATTTCATAACCCAAAAAAATTTAAAACCCTCTAATCCGTGTTTAGTTGTTCATTGCAATGCTTCTCCGAATTTTCCTTTGGGATTCCAGAAAAACCAAACAAGGCCTTACTTCCACCACGTCGAAAGCGAAATATACATCACATCAGCCCCACAGCCATCCAGCATTCACACTAACTTTAGACTTTTTTTTTTTTTTTAAGGCAATTTTTTGGTCCTCATATTAAAACAAAACATAATGGGAAAAAAAAAAAGGGGGGGAACCAGAGAAAGAAGAACAGAAAATATAAATGATCAAATTGAAGCAGATTAAATGGTGGAAATAATCTGTATTTAACAATATTATTACAACGTTGCATTGCATCATACAAGAAAATTAAACCACAACAACAACTATATAAAATTTTGAAACTTTCTTTAAAAAAAATTAAAGACTAATTTCAGCATCTGCTTCTTCAAGCTTCTCCTAAATCCTACCCACAAACTTAAAACTTTTTTTGTCTTCTCAATTATCATTGTTTTGAGACACAACAAAAAAACAATTAAAAAAAAGGTACTACTGGGAGTTCTCAGAAAGTCCATTTCCAGATCTTGATTCTCAGATCGACCTTACATTTGGCACCGGAACTGTTGGCCAAAGCCGGCGACTTACCCGTAGGCAGAACGGCTTTAATTCCCTCGCACGTTACCCTGATACCCACTTTCTTGCTCTTCAATCCGTCCATCTTTACTCTCACTTTTGTGTCCATCTCAAGCTTCAATGGAACGCCGCTCTTCTTCTTCAGATCCGATCTCAACCCATTAACGGACTCAGCGTCGAGATCTTGGGAAGTGGAAGCCAGAACTGCCCGGAAAGTTGTCAAGTTCTTACTGTTACTGACGAAGGCTGGAACGGTGCCGTTTCCGATAAACACGCCACTATCGCTTGAGATGAAAGAAGCAACGAACGGGTCGTAGAAGAAGGTGATGTGGGAGTTGGGGTTTTTAGAGGAGAGAG